TCTTTCTTTCTTTCTTTCTTTCTTTCTTTCTTTCTTTCTTTCTTTCTCTTAGATGTCACTGTCACACTCAGAACTCAGAAGTCAGAACTCTCTGTGTTGACCAGGCTGGCTTTGAACTCATAAAGATGAACTTGCCTCTGCCTACCAAGTGCTGTGATTAAAGGTGTGTGCCATCACACACAGCCAAGAGCTACACTTTCACACTCTGCCTCCAGACCTGCCAGACTCTAGTTATTTCCCCATGATTTACTTCTAAGACTTGCAAGTAATAAAGTGGAAACGGATTCATGAGCAAAGTTAATAATGTACACACAATAGGCCAATTGTTGGTTAAATGTTTCATCATGTCTGATGTATTTAATCACAGATGTATGGAGTGTTTCCATTTAGATACAATTTACTACTATAAGCGTTCTGCATAGCACATTAAAGATTCTTGTTTAACTTAAGAAAGATTTTAAGTTTAATGAAAAGGAAGAAAGATTTAAAAAAAGTTCAAGTGTAGCCTGAGGGCTGTCAACTTTCATGTTGATAATATGAATGACATAAATTAAGCATGAAGTCATTAATATCCAAGGGCCCATGATGACGCTAGAAGGTCAGGGTTAAGGATGTCTCCCAGTGCTCTGGATGGAGTGTTGCTATCCTTAGAGCTTAGGAATTTGATTTTATATATGTGTATTTTTTCCTAAAACTTGAACACTCCAAATAGAAAGAAAGTATTGTCTTGCTCACATCACTTTCCAATGGTATTTAAAGGGGAACAACATTTCTTGGTATATAGAAAAGCCAAGAGGCCAAACAGGGGCCTTACTTTAAATGACCCCAAATCTTTGTTTTTAATTATTAATTTATTTTTACATCCTGCCTGCAGTTTTCCCTTCCTCCTCTCCTCTCAGCCTTTCCCATGGATCTCAGCCAGCCATGGCATATTAAGTTGCAGTAAGACTAGGCACCTCCTCTTGTTAAGGTGGGATGAGGCAACCAGTAGGAGGAAAGGGTCCCAAAAGCAGACAACAGAGTAAGAGACAACTGTTGGGCGCCCCATAAGAAGACCAAGCTGCTGGGTTTTTATTTTCGAAACATTTACCTTTATACCTTTCATTTTATGTATTGGAAATAAAAAAAAAATGTATTTGGCATGATGTAGAGTTAGGCTTCCTCATCTTGTACAAGGCACATGACATGTTCATCTGCTTCACTTAGTTCTTTGATTCCCCAATGATTTTCAACTCCTGTTTGAAGGATGCTGTGTGATCTTTGCTTATATTTCACTTGAAATGGAATTTTACATCCTCAGCCAGAAGATTGTACTGGACTCTATCTAGATTATACATGTTTCATGGCGGCTGATTCCTTTCTTCTCGGGAACTCCTCCTGATGGTCTCTGTGCCATTCATCCAGGATGAATTTACAGAGACAAAGTTAAGATATTTTGCTTTGTGGTATCTAAAGAGATGATAAATCTAAATACTGATTTTAAAAATGTATTGCATATGGGTATAACTATTTGCTATGCTCACCATCTATTTGTTTCCTCAAAAAAGACAATCAACCATAATCTATAAATAGGGGTGAATTGAGATTAATATCAGCCTGCATACACTAAATATTTAATTCATTTTATAATGCAGGTTAATATTTTATTAATTGAAGTAACTGTTATCAGTCTTCCGGGAAGCCAAAATGACTAACTGCTCTATAATATATTAAACAAAACCATGATAAATCAGAGAGCTCATCCTTAGTAGTTCTCCAAACCAGCTACCTACTAAAATCCACTGGAAGGATTTAGAAAATACCAACTTTAGTCCTCCAGACCTCAAAATTCAATTTAATACTTCTAATGTGGGAGCAGTACATTTTCCCCCAATTTTTCTTTATTTTTAATGAAATTTTCATTTTTTATATTAATTAAAATTTATTTACTTTGCATACCAGCTGTAGCCACCTCCTTCATTCTCTCCCAAATCCCTCCCTCCCTCATCTCCTCCCTGCCCCTCTCTAAGTCCATTGATGGGGTGGTCCTCCTCCACTTCCATCTGACCCTAACCTATCAGGTCTCATCAGGACTGGCTGCAATGTCTTCCTCTGTGGCCTAGCAAGGCTGTTCCTCCCTCGTGGGCGGGGGTGTGTGTGTCAAAGAGCCAGCCACTGAGTTCATGTCAAGAGACCGTCCCTGTTCCCCGAACTAGGGAAACCCACTTGAATACTGAGCTGCCATGGGCTATGTCTGAACAGAGGTTCTAGGTTATATCCATGCATGGTCCTTGGTTAGAGAATCAATCTCAGAAAAGACCCCTGTGCCCAGATATATTTGGTCCTTGTGGAGCTCCTGTCCTCACCAGGTCTTACTAACTCCCCCTTCATTCATGAGATTCCCTGCACTCTGCCCAAGATTTGGTTATGAGTCTCAGCATTTGCTTTGATACACTGTTGGGTACAGTCTTTTCAGAGGCCCTCTGCAGTAGTCTTCTGTCCTGTTTCTTGTTTTTTCCTACTTCCAATGTCTATCCCATTTGTCTTTCTAAGTGAGGATTGATCATCTTACCCTGGGTCCTCCTCCTTGTTTAGCTTCTTTAGGTGTACAGATTTTAGTATGTTTATCCTATTTTAGAGGTCTAGTATCCACTTATAAGTGAGTATATACCATGTGTGTCTTTCTGTTTCTGGGATACCTCACTCAGGATGATCTTTTCTAGATCCCACCATTTGCCTGTAAATTTCATGATTTCCTTGTTTTTAATTGCTGAGTAGTACTCCATTGTGTAAATGTACTACAATTTCTGTATCCATTCCTCCATTGAGGGACATCTGGATTGTTTCCATATTCTGGCTATTACGAATAAAGCTGCTATGAACATGGTTGAACAAATGTCCTTGTTGTATACTTGAGCATATTTTGGATATATCCCTAGGAGTGATATAGTTGGATCTTGAAGAAGCACTATTCCTAATTGTCTGAGAAAGCGCCAGATTGATTTCCAAAGTGTTTGTACAAGTTTACATTCCCACCATCAATGGAGAAGGGTTTCCCTTTCTCCACAACATCTCCAGCATGTGTTGTCTCTTGAGTTTTGGATGAGCCATTCTGATGGGTGTAAGGTGAAACCTCAGGGTCATTTTGATTTGCATCTCCCTGATGGCTAAGGAAGTTGAGCATTTCTTTAAGTGTTTTTCGGCCATTCGATATTCTTCTATTGAGAATTCTCTGTTTAGCTCTGTATCCCATTTTTTAAATTGGATTACTTGATTTTTTGTTTTTTAATTTCTTGAGTTCTTTATTTATTCTGGATATTAATCCTCTGTCAGATATAGGGTAGGTGAAGATCCTTTCCCAGTCTGTATGCTTTCGTTTTGTTCTGAAGACAGCGTCTTTTGCTTTTCAGAAGCTTTTCAGTTTCAAGAGGTGAGCAGTACATTTTTTAAGTCCTGAAGTAGAACTAAATATGAAGATGGCATGAAAAACCATTGTCTATGGAAACTAGTGAAGCAACCTTTCTTCCTGGCCAGAAAATTTTGGAATGTTAGAGTACCCTGTTTTTCATTTGAAATCCTACTTAACACACAGCAGTAAAGAAATGTCTTTATCTTTGGAGAGTCATACTAGTAAAAATCAAGACAGAAGACTGCTTGGTTAAGTAGAGGGGATTAGGTCTAGGGATGTCTTTCCATTACAACCTTAATTCAGCCATTTGGGTACTCTGCTGGGCTAGATGTGTTAATGTTTCATAAAATTTAAAGTACATAGGGGCCACCCAGACAGTCTTATTCAAGTGCATAGTTTTATTCTGTAAGTGTGGTGCTGAGAATAGAAATTATACATTCTCAGCAGGTAGCCACTTGGAAGCTGATGGTGCCCCTGGTCCATGAATCAAACAAGGCTTAACGTTCTCTTTAGCTCACTACCTTATTTCATAGGACCGTGGTTCCCCTTCTTAACTTTATATTCCAGTCACCATAGGCACTTTTTTAAAAATACATAACTTTTAGGCTGTAATATATTCAAATGATATCAGACTCTCCTGAGAAAAAACAGGCAGGAATCAGTTTGAATCTCACTTAATGATTTTCTGTGCGAGCTTTCCTTTGAAATTCTTGAACAAACATTCTGGAGTCACTTACTAGTCAGGATTTGTATCAGAAATACCCATGTGACTATTTTTAGGACTTCTTGTAAAGACTAGACTCTCCAGTACTACCTAATGTTTGATTGTTAGTTACTTCATTGTGAAGGATGAACTTCAGCTCTACATATTTGCAAATTGCCGGCAAGTCCAAGAGCAAGGGTTCCTCTTCTTAAGCAAGCCCACAGCATTGACAACTCTGATACGGAAAGCGTAACGGCTCTCCAAGTTGACACAGCTCAGCTGAGTAAAGAGGGAACAGGGTGGACACATTTCCTCATCTAAATTGTCGTACTTGTTGGTTTTAATTTAACATACAGCCTTGTTTAATGATGAATGCAGAGAAGCAGTAAT